TACGTGGAAACATAAGTCTTTAAGTATATAGAAACGAGAAATGCAATTCTTCAAAGATGCACAATTCTTTCAACCGTATAACAAATAAAACAAATTTAGTTTCTTTGCAAAAATATTACTTAGCATTTATTTATACATACATATTATGTATGTGTGTATAGATAAAATCTGTAATTTGTATATAGTTTTGTTAAAGCAATATTAAATTTTTTAATGCAAGATTGTAGGCATAGGAAATTATTCAATTCGAACTGTTGAAAATTCTAAAATTTTTATAAAAAATGCAGTACCAGAGGTTTTTCATACAAAAGTGCTCAATTATTTTTTTTTCCTTCTTCACTCCTAGGAGCTAGCATAGGGCTAGTGCATGATATCACAAATAGTCATGCCCCAGTCTCATTGCGTCATTGACTTTTAACTAAATGGGTGACCAGCCTGCCGTAGTGGTTAATTATTTTAGTTTAAACATATTGCTACCTTTATACTGAAAACAACAAATAAAAATTTTTAGAAAAAAATGCCTTTTTCAGTAAATTCATCAAAATTTTCTTAGAAAAACGGTTTAGTACATCTCGTATTATAAAAATAGTTAATTTGGATTAGTTAACTCTAATTTGTCACAAATGTTTTTTGACATTAAAGATATGTGTTCTTGCAGAGCAAATTGCTAAATTACATGTAGCCACCCTACATCAATTTTAAGTATAAACGAGAAAAAAAATAGAGTTGACCTTGTCAACTCTGTGATACCCGTACGAATTTGTTATCCTATGTGCGAATAACTAATGTGCCATAACTAACTATGGGGCAGACTATGACTTTAAGTTGCCGTATTACCATATTAATTTATACAAAATTTCAGTACTATGTGTTATTCAAAAACCTGGTTGTGCCAAACTACTATTGATGTTGTATGGCAGCTACCAGAAAGAGCCAAGAAATTTTAGCGAATTTTATCAAGCACATCGGCCCTGCTAATATATTCACTTGTGTGAAATCTCAATATCACAGCTTTTATAGTTTCTGAAATATAGTCAAATAACTTTTGAAGTTGTATGGCAGGTACCAGAAGGAGCCAAGTAATTTCAACGACTTTTATGTGACACATTGGCCCTACTAATATATTCGTTTGTATGAAATTTCAATATCATAGCTTTAATAGTTTCTGAAATATAGCCAAATAATTTTTGAAGTTGTATGGCAGGTACCAGAAGGAGCCAAGTAATTTCAACGACTTTTATGTGGCATATTGGCCCTACTAATATATTCGTTTGTGTAAAATTTCAATACCAGAACTTTTATAGTTTCTGAGATATAGCCAAATAAATTTTGAAGTTGTATGGCAGCTACCCGAACCGGTACCCCGATCATGTCCAATTTAAATAGGGTTCTGGCACTTACTACAATAAATCATTTGTGAAAATTTGGTGAACTTAGCTCAATTAGTTTTTGAGTTATCGTTCGGACGGACGGACGGACGGACGGACGGACGGACGGACGGACGGACAGACAAAGCTAAATCAACTCAGAATTTGACGCTGATCAAAAACATACACTTGAGTCTATATCTATCACCGTTATTTCTTAGCGTTACAAACGGTAAGGCAAATTTAGTATACCCTTCGAACATACGTTCGTACGGGTATAATTAAAGCTTTAGTTTTCATTCAGTTATAACCTAATATGGTAGCCAATTATGAAATGCATTTATTCACATAAAATTCTTCAGTATCTAACTCTGAGTGAATTTATTTATGAATGAATTAAAAATTCAATTATATTCACTCATCTATATAAATGAAACACAAATAATAAAATGTAATCTTAATTTTTTTTTTCAACTTAAAATTTAAAAATTAATTCTTTTTTTCTTAAAATTTTTTTTATAAACCTTTTAAACTGTACATAATATCATTACTTTGTTTTCTTTAGAATATTGTAGGTTATGACCTCTAAGTCTGATTATAAATATTTTTAACAATATGTGTGTTATTACAAAAAGCAGCTTTTATCATTGTAACACAGTGATTACTATTTTTTTTTTCTTTAATGCATTTTCATTAATACTTTCATTAATATTTGAAATAAACATGTCATCATGCGGACGCCATTACAATAATAATTTATAGATAATATGATCTGTCTACCCAAATATACAAATGTATGTATGTATATGTATGTATGTACATAAAAATTTTTAAGATTCTTCGTTCATCGTAACCAAAAATAAATTTATTTTTCAAAATTCTCTTTCATTAACAAGAAATCAAATGTATAGCACTACATAATCTGATTTTCATTCAAATTCAAGTCATTCATTATTTATAGAAAAAAATTCAACAACAGGGGGATAAAAGATCCCTAAAAATGGTTAACTAATTCTATTTTTTTTTCCTTTCTTTTCGTTAAAATTCTTTTTCAATTAAATTTTTCTGTTTTCTTTCTTGCATATTATACAAAAAAAAAAAATAACAACATAAGTTCCAAAAATACTATAAAATTTTTGTAATTTAAAAAAAAATAAAAACAAAATTTAATTTTCATCACATAGTACATTAACGCTACTATTATCACCCACCAAAAATTCAATTAAAATCAAAAATTAAATATAAGAAACTATTAAATAAAATCCACCCACAACAAATATTTTTTTTTTGTTAACAATCTGTAAACTTTAATACGAATCCCATGATCGAATTTTAATACCCATAAATTGACTGTGTATGAAATATAGTATAGAGAAAGAGAAAGATGCTAAAAGAGATAAAAAAAAATTTGTTATTTTCTTTATAGATCTTGGACAATAGATGCATAATGTGGGAGCAATGAATACCTACATACAAAATACATATGATCTTTTTTTTGTTTCTTTAAAACCGAGCAATACAAATAAGTAACAAGTAAAAACGTTTCAGTCGGTATAAACCGATTGAATTATACCCTGCACCTTTCGTTATTGTGTAGCAATTACTTGAACCTCTGAAATCATTCTATAGAAACTTCACGGACGTGTCTGATCTATAATCGGACACACAACTGCCAAGTTTCATGAATCCGATTTTATTATTTTTTCAAATATGTAAAATAAGCTTTTGGAGTTTTATGGCAAGTACCTGAACCTGTCAAGCAATTCCATCAAAACTTCACAAATATATCTGATCTATAATCGGACACACAACTGCCAAGTTTCATGAATCTGACTTTATTATTTTTGCAAATATTAAGAATAAGCTTTTGGAGTTGTATGGCAAGTACCCGAACCTGTCACGCAATCGCACCAAAACTTTAGAAATATGTGTGACCTATAATTGGACACACGCCTGCCAAGTCTCATGAATTTGACTTCATTATTTTTCCAAATATTTAAAATAAGCTTTTAGACTTGTATGGGAGCTACTCGAACCTGTCGAGCAATTCCACCAAAACTTCAGAAATATATTTGAGCCATAATTGGACACATGACTGCCAAGTTTCATGAATCTGACTTTATTATTTTCCCAAATATTTAAAATTAGCTTCTGGAGTTGTATGGCAGGTACCCGAACCTGTCAAGCGATTCCTCTAAAACTTCAGAAATATATTTGACCTATAATTGGACACATGACTGCCAAGTTTCATGAATCTGACTTTATTATTTTTCCGAATATAAAAAATTTGCTGTTGGAGTTGTATGGCAGCCACCCGAACCGGTGCAGCTATCCCATTATAATTTTTAGAGCATATGTAGAATGTAATTGGACACATGTATACAAAATTTTATATTTATAGCTTTACTAGTTTTTGAAATATTTAAAATAAACTCTTTGAGTTGTATGGCAGCTACCCGAACCCGTTGTCCGAATTGGTCCAATAACAATAGGGTTCGTCCTTGGCACAAAAGAAAAAACTTGTGAAAGTTTGGTGTCGATTGCATTATTCGTTTTTGAGTTATCGTGCGATCGGACGGACGGACGGACGGACGGACGGACGGACGGACGGACGGACGGACGGACATGTCTAAATCGACGCAGAATTTTACGCTGAGCAAGAATATATATATATGTCCATACCGCGGATGACTCCTTCAAGTAGTTACAAACTCCATACCAAAGTTAATATACCCTTCACGAAGTGCAGGGTATAAAAAAAAATGCATTTTAATGTAATTTTAATGGCATAAGAGTATTCAATTTGTCGAAAGTTGAAATTTCGAAAATATCAAAATTTATTTTTTAATGATTTTCTTATAAGTATGTACTTAATATGAATTTTTCAATAACATTAACTAAAAAATGGTTTACACCGTCAAAGTCAGGGTTACTATGTAATGTGAAAAATAATAATGATTTTCGAATAATGCGAATTTCGATATAAATTATTCAATTTAATATAAATTCGAAAACTGAATGATTTTGTGTTTATTTTATCAAAATTTGATTTACGGAATTCACTGAAATATCCGAACTCCTAAACAAAAGTATAAAATGATATTATTTTTCTTTTTTAATTAAATCTAAATCTAAATCTGAATCGAAATCTGATATTCGAAATCTAAGATATGAAGCTAAGAAGCTTAAACTGTGTAACACTCTGTATACAAATTTAAATTTTTATTGTGGATTATTTTGGCAATGTCCGCTCTATTAAATATTTAGAAGCTAAATTTTTATCTCCTGTAATTACAATTGTAACAGTTCTTCCTTACAACTAAATCTTCTCTTTATCTAGATTTGACTATCAAGCGATTTTCATAGTATACATACAGTAGAGATTGCAAGAAATCTACTTATACAAACTTGTAAACCTTCTATACAAGAGTTTTAAACTTTTCTTTTTAATTGAATATGAATTTTAAGTAAATTTAATTTCAGTAATCGGAAACTGTCACTGACACTCTAATTTCATTTAAAAAAATACAAAAGTAATTTAATAATAAATATACGATTGAGCACAAATATACATACAAACATATAATATACACACATAAATGTTTTTATATTTATTTTTAATTTATTACTCACCTGTAAATGTCGATTTTGTTCAGCTGTTAATCTGCCTGCCGTTTGATTTATATTTAATCCTTGACCATTTATTGCACTGACACCGCTGATACCACCATTTGTATTGCTATTAATACCGCCGTTTTCATTTTCTGTTTTACGAACAAATTTTAACATATCTTGATGTTGATGTTGTCTTAATAAAAAATCTTCGTGATTTTGTCCCGATGACAAATGATTTGTATGATTTCCGATATTATTATTATTATTGTTATTATTAGAACCGCCTCCGCTACTATTACTATTTCCACTATTACTAGATAATAAACGATGACGTTGTGAGAATCTTGATGATCCTGTTATTGATGATGAATTACTAAAACCGTTTTTAATTGTATCAGGTATATAAACAGATGTCAATTTTGGTATTTCAGGTGGACATTTAATATTAATATGAGGAAAATTTAAATCTGTTGTTGATGTCGGATAATATCCTGATGATGATGAAGATGATTTTGTTGCTGCTAATGTTGCTGCCGCTAAAATAGATGATGGTATATTTTTTAATATACCACTACTACTTATTGACGATGTTGGTGGAGGTTGTGGTGGTGGTTGATATCGTGGTGGTATTGAATGACCACCAGATGTTGATGATGATGATGATAATGGCTGTATATTTTGTTGTATTGTTGTTGTTGATATCGTTGATGGTGATGATGATGCTGATGTACTATTACCGTTACCATTAAGCGTTGGTAAATGACTAATATGTGTTTGATTCAAATGATTATTATGATTATGATGATTATTATGATGATGATGATGATTATTACTATTATTATTAGATGTTGTTATAGTTGTTGCTGTTACTGATGTCGCTGATACTACTGATGGTATTGTATTAGAATGTTGATTTGAAGATAGGTGGTGGTTATTATTTAAATGATGATGAGAATTAATACCGTTTTGTGAAATATTTGATATTGGTGGGGTTTTTATATGTTGATGTCGCTGCTGATGATGATTATTGTTATTAATGTTGTTATTTACTGCAGATGTTGATGTTGATGTTGTGTGTGCTGTTGATGCAGTTGATGAATATGGATGATGATGAACGGTAGCTATTATTTGATGTTGATTTGAAGATGATGTTGATGATGATGAACCCGATGATGATTGCTGTTGAGTATTTTGCGCTTGCTGTTGCTGATGTGAATGATGTGTACTATTATGCTGTTGTATTTGATCTGATTGCGTATTATTTGAATTTGGTATATTATGGTGATGGTTATGCTGTATATGATTTTTACTACCAAGACTCATTAAGTTACTATTCAGTTTGGGATGCTTATTATTACCAGACGACATTGTTTTGGATGGCAATAAAATATAATTTTGAATTTTCGTTTTTTATTGTGATCTGGTTTTGGCACGATTGGTCTCTGTTTTTTTTAGAAAATTTTTGAATTGATTTTTAAGTGAAACATTTGGGTGCGGTTTTTTTTTTATCGAATTCAAGTTTTGTGGTTATTTTTGACTTTTTTTGTATATTTTTTTGTTTTTTTTGGAAATTTGTAATTCAAAATAGTTTTTTTTTTCGTTTTGAGGTTGAAGTAAACGCACTTTTAAGTATATTTTTTTTTTTTTGAATTTTTATTATGATTTTGATCTTGTATACGTGTTGTAACTTTTTTTTTATTTTTTGTTGCTGTTGAATTGTACAGAAAGTTGTTATCACCTTTTAGAAAATTTTTATTATACAAGAATATAATCGCATACTCAGATATACACGCATGTTATTCAAAAAAAAAAAAACATGTTGCGAGAAATTTTTTCAATTTTTCCTGTTTTTTTTTCTCTATATTGCTTTTCAATATTATGTTTTTATAATTATTTTGTTATTTTTTATAATACTTTTGTAAATTTAATTTTCTTGCTGCCCTAATAAACTACTTTCTATATAAGCAAGTAATTTTCGCCGGAAATATTGTTGTACTTTGTTGATTTTCTTGTTTCTGTTTATTGTGAAGATATTCAAATACCAATGTAAAGAGAAGTAAATCAAAGTAATAACACAAGGTTCTCAAATATAATTAAAAATTGTTGTTGCTGTTATTGCTATTATGCTTATAAATTTCAACATCTTCAAGAGATCAATTCCTTAGTATATACTTTTCTATATACAATAATTAATTTGAAATACTTTACGAGCGCATATCAAATAAACACAACGACAGGTAAAATATTTTTCTTGTTCATTTATGGTATTTTTATATGAGATTTTTTTCTTTCTGGTTTTGGCGGTTTTTATATATTTTCTTCGTATATAAAGTATACATGCGTTATATTTGCGATAAAGCAAAAAGATCTTTAATATGTTTTCATTATTCTTGCTTTGTTCGAAAAGAAAAACAGTACAGAAACGTTTGTATTAATATTAAAAAGGAATCCAAAAGTTTTCTCAATGCTCTTTTAGTATACGAAAGCAAATGAGGAGAGCAACAATACCCACTTAAAATAATTTTTAAAGCAGTTTTTGAGAATCGTTTTTCAACTCTCCGTTTGTTGCGATTTGCACAAATGTAGGTGCATAAATGTCTACTTATATTTTTTTATTCGATTTTATGCTAAAATTTATGTTCATTCAGATATTTTAAGATATTTTCTTTTTTTATTTCCAAATTTTTTTTTTTTATTTGTAAGTTATTTTTGTTTTGTTTTTCCACTGCTCTTGCTCAATAATTTCTCGTTATGAATGAAATTTCATAAGAAAAAGCAAAAAGAAAACAGCACTCTTGCAACATTATTGGTATTGTATTTGTGAATTTCTGCGCTTTTGTAAAACGTAAAAATTTCTTCTTATTATTCTTTTTTGTTTTTTTTTGCAACTTTATTCTCTTGCAATTGTGAGCAATTAAAATTCTCCTTGTGTTGAAAAAAAAAATTTTAACTTTTAAATGATGGGAAAATTTTAAATTTTTTTCTTGCTTTTATCTGAAAAAGATTAAAAAATAAAATAATAAAGTATGTGTTTATTTTATGTTTAAAGAGTAACAATAAATTAAAAAAAATTAAAAAAGAGAAATTGAGATTCGATAAAAATATTTTTTTCTTAAAATACAATGAAAAATTTTCTGCAATAATTTTTTTTTTATTTAAAAAAATGAGCTTATTACACTCTCACGCTGTTCGTCCGTTCGTCCTGAAAAGCAACATTTTTTGAAAATAAATTGGATCGAAATCATAAGTATTTTTACCATTTAACAATAACCGTTATCCTAAATCAAATTTTTGTTCAAATTTTGACCATCTTTTTTTCTCTTAAAATGTATATTAATAATCAGTTTTAGGGGCTCGAGATATTGACAGCCTCTAGAGTTCAAAAATATATGCATAATCTATTTTATCTTCCATAATTAGGAAAATTTCATTCATTTCCAGCTTGTTTCCTTTAAATTATAAACTTTATCCAGTTTATATGACAGCAAATGAGCAGTATAGTAAGTAACAAAAGATATTTTATAATAAGAACATATGAAAAAATAATTTGAAGGACCCAATTACTCGTATAGGAGTAGTATAAATGTTCTCTTAACGATGTTCCGTATCGTTTTAAAAACAAATGTGACGACATATATATTAACAGTTGGAAAAATGCTACTTTTCAAACCATATAGATTTAATCTGAATTTGAAGAAAAAATTATTTTTCTTCACACTTTCCGACATTTCACATGATTAAAAAGAGTAGATATTGAAAATATGTTACTTTTATTGAAAAATGATAATAATTTAAAACTACTTAAAACTTTAGCAAATAAAATTTCATTTATACATACATGCATTCTTAGCAATAATAACATTCGACCGATGTGATTGTGACCCCAGCTTTGACAATTTCCACTTCAATCATAAAAATATATTTAGTAATTTATATTAATTATGAATAGTTAATATTCAATACGAGAATATAATTAAAGTTTAATACTAAACAAATTAATACAGAAATATTGGCTTAGTAAGAAAAAACATTGTTCCCACAAAAGGCCACTATCGCGACTGGTTTAACAGGTAAGGGTTCTTAAATATATTCCATTTTTTTTTTTTTTTTTTGTTGACTTTGTTGACAGTGGGATATAACTTTGGCTATATTAGGTATAACGGCTCTTTTGGCCATACGCTAGAAAAGTGGCGCAATAGGCTATTTAAAGAGCAACATAATAATTAATTCAGACAGGCCATTCTAGAAATAATTTTTTTTTTAATTTTTTCGATTTTTTTTTTTTAATATTTATGCACAAACAAATTTTTGCCAAAAAATAAACGCTATCTTGTCACATTCACACATACACTTATGTTTAGCATTCATATGTTACAGAGGGTAATTAGATATAAACCATTTCTTCATTAGTCCTCAGAAAAATAAGTATCTATATATAATATAAATTTTTTTAACAAATGAAATTTAACTTTTATTTGACTTCTACAATATAATTTGAAAGTAAATGCATTCATATGCATCTATACATATATATGACTATATACGTGCATTGTATATGCTCCCAAAATTTTTATTACATGCACGTGTAAGAACTATTTATATGAACGTTATTTTCACTTTTAAATTTTCAAACTTTTCAAATTTTCATGAAATTACTTAACAAGAAAATACATAAGCATATGGTTATAATCCTTACAGACGAAACCAATTAAATTTTCTTTGAATGAAAATAATGAATATACTTAATAATTAAAAGATACCATTTAACTATCTCACTATATTCTAAGTTTCTATAATGAAATTATTCTATATATTTTGAAAATTTTTAAATTATGTTATGTATAAGTGAATGTTCAAATTCTAATAAAAATGTATCAAAAGGATGTCAATTGAAATGAAAATAAATTATAGTACACATCTGATATGAATTAATAAATAAAACAAAGTTGAGTCATACTAATGGTTTGTAATTTAGCACTTTTTCCTTCAAGAAGTAAAAATAGTTCTTTTAAGAACAATCAACTATATACTACATTATTAAAATTATTACTTTCATTCATATACAAATATATTTCAAAAATTGCATACTTATAGGATGAACAATGTATTCGGTCTTTGAAATTAACAAAAATTGAAAGAGGGATTAACACAATGCTCGAATTTAAGGATTATTTGCGTGAGTTAAGAAAAATAATTACATTTTTTATTGGCATGGAACTTATTGTTAGCTTTCTGGTTTTATAAAAAATTTGGAAAGACATACGGTTTCAGAAATATGAGGTGCCAAAAATTCAAATTTTACAAATTTCGTGAGACAAAAACTTGTGTGGAAGTAGAGGTGCGGAAAAATTTTTTTTCTAGAAAAATTAACTAGTTATCAATGTCTAAAATTTGCTAAAATTTCAGACTCCTAAACCTTTCTCGACCGAAAAACGATATCAAACATTTGACAAAAACTGGTTTTAGGTAATGGTAAATTTTAAAAATGGAAAAGTGCTAAAAATGAAGAAAGCAAATTCTTAATGTGAACTGAATAAAATTAAAAAAAAATAATTTTAAAAAGAAAGTTCTTAAAATTTAAAATAATTGAATATTCATTAAAAATTGCATCTTTTAAGGATAAAATAAAAATTTATTCTCTGCATATCCTTTTTTTATCTTAATTTGCTTAATTTACTTTAAAAACAAGTATTGTTTTGCTTCAAAAACATTTGCATGTCGTACAAAATTTCAAACAGAATTTCTTAAGTATATTTTTATTATATATGCAGTTTATGTATGAGTTTAACATTAAAGTCAAATTTATACGGTAGGTGCTCAGAGAGTTAAAATAATATCGTATACAAAATGTTGTTAATTTTAAAACTTTCCTAAACAAAAACAAAAAAAAAAATAGTTTTAAACTAAAAACTCTTAACATTTAAATTTTAAAATTCTCTTAAATCAGTAAATTTCCATTACAAAATAATAAATTCATTCAGAAAATTTAATGCAAGATTAAATTGAAAAAGCAAATAAATTTTCTTACAGTTCTTTACATATACAACTAGATACAAACATTATGAATTTTTTTATTTATGTTCCCATTATATAAGATAACAAGAAAAAAAAAACAAAATGAACAATAATAAGAAAAAATAAACAAAAAATATTTATTAAATAAATTTTACAAATGAATACAAAATGAACAAAAAAATTTTTTTATTTAAATGAATTAAATAAGATTTTTTTAAATAAAATTTATTCAAATATTTATAGGAAAAATAATCTAATATTTTATCATAATTTTAAAGATGCTAAGTAAATTATTCTTATAAAGACTAATAATAATATTTTCTATTTTATATTGGAAAACTATAAATTTAAACAAAATTAAAAGAAAATTATTGTTGCTTGCTCTCTCCCAACAGTCACAATATTTTTCTTTCAATTTCTAAACTTAATACAAAAAGCCCTTATTTTAAAATATCATAAATTTTATATTTCCAATTTATTAAAAGAATATACAAGAAAAAAGAACAGAAAAATAAAATAAATCTTAAATTTTAATTACAATAGAAAATCTTTTATACATACAACATAAGAATGACTTATAAGGTTCAAGAAATCTATATAATATAAAGAGCATCATCCTCTTAACAAAAGATAATATTCCTTTTGCCTAAAGATATATTGAAATAATAACAATAAGTGGATACTTGTAATAAATAAGTGTCCTTTTAAAGAAAATTTTATTTAAATATTCTGATTTTTCTTCAATATTTTTTTTTTGTATTTTTTTAAAGAATTTTTTAGAACAATTAAAATTTTATTGATAGATACTTTAAAAATATTCATGAAAATCAAAATTTAATATTATTATATGTACATATATGTATGTATAATGAAATTTAATAAAATATAAAAGTAAAAAGTTTTCATCTTCAATTAAATATAAGTGGGATAATTAAATCACATATAACCTAATAGATACCCAATTAAATGATGCATGCTTATGCTAGTTAATTATTGAAAAAATTGGTCACATAATTACCCTATAAATAACCTAATTACGCAGTTATTTTGTTTACTATGTCCTTTAACACGAAAACATGAAATGTATAAAATTTGTATTTTCCACATGCTTTTTAAACACGTTTACTGGGAAATATGAATTTAACACGTTTTACTGGGACAACTATGAGCGATAGTTTGGGTGACTATCACTACGAGACATACTGAAGGTTTAACTTTTAGAACAATTTTCGAGAAATTTCGAGTTTTGTAAAAAAAAAAATCAAAAACAAAAAAAAACAAATATTCTAACTTTGACGAGCTTCATCTCGAAAATTATGGCACGAATCAAATTAACTGCAAGAACAAAAATAAAGAACAATCAATCAAGAAAGTCTGTAAAACAAGCTCCCGATGGTTACTCTAAGTCACATGTAGTTATGAAGTTATTAGCATTTATTCATATGCAAGAAAAATTTAGAATCACCCATATAATTTTTTGCTGGAATTTGATCAAAAAATCGTCTCTAGAATTATTTGCTACTTTATTCGAAAAAACCTATTTTTCATAAATTCTGGAAAAAACCTAATAACAAAGCTCTTTTAATAAGGAAAATCTTTTGTAATTTGAAGAAATTAACAACTAACTTACACATATAGAGACTACATATAGAGACTTCATAGTTTCAAATTTGCAAAATATATTTTTGTAAAATCAATAAATAAAAACATAGCCGAAAACTTTTACTCACAAATCACAATATTTTTAATGATCAAAATTAAAAAAATATGACTTCCGAATATAGATCAATAAATTTTTTTAACCTATAACTTATGTAAAAGTTTTACGAAAACTTCGTTAAGTATACTAAAAAGATTTTCATATAGAGGGCATTATAGTGGAATTATATATATACTCAGTTAAGTTTTTATGACCAATATTTCTGATTTAATGAAAATATAAAAGTGAATTATTATAAAAACAAACAATTTAAGATTCT